ATATAGATATAATACCCTTTACTCTGGACGTATAAGAAGAAGTAAGAAATAGAAAAGAGAGATAGAAATCGTTATTATTAGTGATGTGTTCGTGTGTGAGTAAAAGAGAGAAAATGAGAGAGAAAGAGAAAGAGAATGAGAAAAAAACAAAAGAAAAGACAAGAAAAAAAAAAAGGAGCACCGATCGAGCGTGAAATAACGGCAATGGTACAGTTTGAGCGGAATAATAGCAATAATAATGATAATAATAATTATTATTAATGGTGATAATATTAATAATAATGATAATAAGAGAGGAAGAAGAGATGTGTGGAAAGGGTGTGAAGTAGCAATAAGAAGGAAATAGAAGAGAAAAAAAAAAAAAAATGACCACAGAATCACATAAATACAATAGCGGGGGGAAGGAAAGAAATGAAGGAAATTACATTATTTAAAAAAAAAAAAAGGATAAGATAAACAAACAATATTACTGGCACGACTGAGGCTTTTGCTACTGATTGATGATAATAACAATGAATTTCAACTATCACACATATATATATGTATATATAAAGTAAATACACTACATAAATATAGAGACGTATATATATATATATTAATAGTCTGAGGGAGTTTCTCAGTAAAGATGATTGATTTCTCTTTGAGTACTTGCCACCTATTAACGTCCTTATATCTATGTATGTGTGTGTGTTTACTTCCGTATTGTTATTGTTGTTGTTTATATATTGTAATTGATAGAGTGCCGATATTGCCGTTTTTTTGTTTTTTCTTTTATCTTTTTTTTCTCTCTCTCTTTCTCTATGTATGAATGAATGTATGGGTGGTGATGGATGATGGAGAGATGCGGATTCTCTGATTCTCTGATATTTCTCTGTTCATTCCATTATCACTTCCTGAGATCTTTAATGTCTGAAGGATACATACATTCTTGTTTATGTTCTTTTCTCGTTATTCCTATTGATATTATTTATTATTATTTATTTATTTATTTATTATTTATTGTTGGTGTTCTCTTCTTTACTGTTGTTGTCGTTATTGTTGTTCTTTTTTTAGTGTTCATTATGTCTATTTGGCGCATCTGTTCTCATTATTTATATGTTTTCTCATGGGTGAGAATCCAATGATATTAAAATACTGCTTCCACCCACTGTATATATATATATATATATATATACTCTTTCTCTCATTATATATAAATATATATTTCTCTATCTTTTTTCTTATTTCTTCTCTATTTTATTTACACAAATATGGATAAAAGTAAAAAAAGGGATCAAATAAAAAAATAAATAAAAAAAAAACGTAAAAGGAACGACGACATAACACACATAAGGGTTATTATTATTTATCACTGTTTGTAGGCTTGTAGAACTCTGGAAAGAAGAATTTAAAAAGAAAAAGAAGAGGAAGACTTACAACAACTATAGTAATAACCATTAACAACATTTCAAGAGGAAGAGAATAATAAAAAGGGAGAGAAAAAGAAAGAAAGAAAGA